AAAAAGTAAATTATTATAATTGTTATTAATATCACTTACAAAACTAACTGATTAAAATATGAAGTTTATGTAATTTTAGGAATTAAAGATGGATTTGAATTTCTTTTAACTTACCTATTTCTAAAACTTGAACAGAAAGAAAAATGCACAACAATTTTTTTAAACTAATTTAATTTAATAAAGTTATAAAACATTGATCATATTCAAACTTTCTTAACTGATAAAAACTTCTTTCAAATTACTTTAGCTCAAACAATTTGACCTCATGTATAAATTCAATTATACTATTGGCATGTACTTAATGTTATAAAAAAAAAACTATCAAACTCTGTGATTATTTATCTATCATGTATAGCATATAAAACTCAAGCTATTTGTCTAATTATTGATTTAACCTGGTAGCCAACACACAAAAAAAATCAAATTTTATTTAATAAAGTTTTATCTTCAAATATTAGCATTACTAGTAATACAGATAAATACTAAGTTTTTTGCTAAAAAGATTTTTATAAACATATTCTTTAACTAATTAGAATTCATTTTTCTTTACATCTATTAATTCTAACTGAAACTCTATCTAAATTAAACATGTTATAAGAAATTTGGCAAAACTGTATTAAAGAACAGCATAACTATTGTAAAATTAACAACCTACTTCATATTTGAGCTTACCTGTAGTGTAAATGGTATTAACCAGAATGATGGACATTATGGGTACATTTAGCAACTAAACATATTAATGTTTTACAATCTACTATAACAATTGAAAATTATTAGAAAATAATTAAACATAACTATTTATTTGAATACAATTGTACATGTTTGGATCTATTAGCATACATTATTATAACAAGAATTATACTTGAATAAATTGATTGATTGCAGCAATTACATAATAGTTAAGTAGTAGAATATTGGTGATTTGACCATAAAACAAAATAGAATCAACTAAAAAAGAAAATAATTAACTCTAATTTTCAATATGTTATAGATATAAAATGTTGGGTATGTTCATGCAAGAGTTTTTTACTTAGTAGGTTTTTGATTTGTAAACATATGATACAGCAAATAGATCTTGTTTCTATCAGGTTTTTTAAACAGATATTTAGATTAGCTTATTACATATTGATATAATTATCATTATATATTTTATATATATATAATATTAATATTAATATAAATTTAATATTTGAGATTTACTACCAGGAATTTTATTTATTTTTAAAATTTACCAAGCAATATGAAAATTATTTTAAAAATTTGGCAGAAAACCTTTTTCATATACTTTTAAATAAATTTTTAATCAAATATACATTGACCCAAGACAAAAAGATGATTGTTTAGGACAATAATACAGTTTTTGAATTGTTATCCAAAAAGATAATACAGTTGTTGAATTATTATTTTAAGATGAAAATACAATTGTCGATTTACTATCTCAAGATAAAGATAATATAGTTGCTGAATTGTTATCTTAAGATAAAAATAATATGATCATTGAATTATTTTAAGATGATAATATCAAAGATATTAATAAATATGTGTTATATAAAAAGAAAGAACTTTTTTTGTTATTAGAGAATATTAAAACTATATTGATAAAAATGTTCAAATGTTGAATGCTAAAAAGTGAATTGATTTTGTTGATAAAAACTTTAATGGTTTATGAAAAATAGCAAATGACTGCAAATAACTTAATAAACAACAAAAATTTCCAAATACTTGAAAAGACAATAATTATAATACATTTTGGATTTAATAGCTTATAAAAAAAAAAAAAAATTACAAATGCAATAATGTAATTTGATTACAAAATTTTACTTTTAATTTGGTTCACTTAATTTAAATTAAAAAATTTTAGTTAAAAACCTGATTAAGTTTATCTAACTAACTTTAAAATTAGGGTAAGTAAGTCATAAAGTTCTTTTTCTAGGACATAATAAAAATAAATACTGAAGTGAAGGTGACAGTCATAATGAAAACATAAGCTATCTTTTGCAAAACAAAGGATATTAGATTACTTCCAATTCTCTAAATAGATGTAATAGTGATAAAACTTATAATATACAGAAATACAATATATATTTAATATAAATATTGGAAAATCTCAGAAGAATCTCTCATGTGATCAGTATAATTTATTAGACTGATGATTTATCACCTAATTTCCTATTTCTAATTACATCTCTATATAAGACCCAAAATTATGAAACAGACTTTAAATATAAGAAATAAGTCTTTTTATAGTTACAAATTGCTTATAATCATTAGTATCATAAAATTTAATTTTTTTAGGCAATTTTATTAATAATAAACCTCTTTATAATCACTAGTTTTTAAAATAAATATATGTTATTAAATTTAATTATATATATATGTTTTAAAATTTATATTAAAAATTTTAAAATCTTTAATAATAAATATTTTTTAATTTACTTGTATTATAAAAAGTAGCCAAGCAGTATTATTAGTCTGTGACTGATTTAATAATTCTTCAATAACATTAATATAAGATTTAATTTATCTTATTCTAATATTTCTTTTTTATAATATAATTTTTTTATAAAATTGGTCATTTTATATAGTAGTAATTCTTTAATAAAATTAAAAAATATATAAATTATGAGCATAAAACTTGAAATAATGTTTATGATATACCAAATAAGTGTACTATGTTGGTTTAAAAATACTTCTCCTATTATCGTTTTATCTGATTTAGTATGATATTAAAATTAGATTTATTTATATATTTTATGAAAATTACTACACTTAACCGGAAGTAAAATTCCTCCCTTTATGTTTTAAGATGTTTTAAGATTAGGGTGCAATTTGAGACCAAAATAGGGTTAGCTATAAAGCTCCAAATTTAAGTTACACGAGGTTTGTGGGAGTTCTGAACATTTTTACTTAGTATATCTGACCCCTGTTTCTTAGTCACGTTTTTTGACGCCAGGTAATTTTTCCCCGAATAAAATTAGCAATTCTTATATTCATATAACTTTATAGAGTTACATAAAAGTTTAAAAAAAAAAATACTTGCTGATGCACTATTTAACAGAAAAAATAAAATTCGGACAAAAATTATTATAACAAATGAATTTTCGACGCAACCGAGAGATGTGTGATCTCGTTTATCGTGACATGTACTTGACTGTTACAAGAATTAATATTATGAATCAAAATTACACAAAATATGAGTTATAAATATGTGACAATTAAGCACACGTCACTGATAAGTGAAGCCCGATATTGTATTCAAACATTGGATGATACATACTTTTAAGTTATTTATATTGATATAATTAAATAAGACAGGATTAAGTTGGAAACGCTAGTCTGCCCGTGAAAATTTTTATAAAATAAATTGTATTGCACATCAAGAAATCAACTATAACAGGCAAGAAAAACTTGAGAAAAGATAACTATAATTAAAAATAGATTGACATGTAAAACTCCTTAAAAAGCCAGATCAAGATTTTACCAAATTTGGAATACACGGCTATTGTATGAACTCGAACCATTGGATATTCCAGATTACATATCCAGATTTAATGTTGTTTCAAACAAGCGTGTACCAAACATATTCTTTCCGTTGTCAAGAAACAAATTGCAGCACCAAATAATACAGTACTCTTAAAAAACAATTCATTATGTTTAAAAAGATGTAGATATGTCTTATCGAGCAATGCAGTTTGTTAATAATTAAAGTTTGAGCGTGTTTAGTTAAATATGCGTTTATAAATTTAGTATTTAGTTTTATAAAATGCGTTAGAATAAAAGTTTGTTTTTTATTATACCAATTGAAAAACGGCGTTATTTCCAAATTGAAGAACGACATGCGTCAATTAATAATTGCATAACATTCCTAATGAACTGTAATAAATTAGTGATTTAAGCCGGCTATGGTAGCCGCGGCTAAGCCGGCTTAGCCAGCCAATGTAATATGATCGACTGGCTAATGCGGCTAAAGATCATATGATTTAGTATTTAGTTGGATTCCGGTAAATTCTGAAAAGGAAAAATTAAGCGGAAAGTTTACCGAAATTTTTCGGAAGTATGGCTGTTAGCCAACCGATTAGCTGACTAAAAACCCTACGACTTAAATCACTATGATGAATAAACGAAGTTCGACTATGATTAAGTCTTAAGTGCAACGATGCTGGATGCTTTACATACTATTTATATTTGTTTGACAAGAAATTTAGACTTGCATTGCATTGTTTGTGTACCATCTAGGCATGTTTTAGTGTATACAGAACCACATCCTCCGTTACCATTTGGTTTAATCCATCAAATGGAATCTACGCTAAAGTTTGATTTGAATTTCTTTCATGCAATTGTCAATAAACATGTTCTTGTCCAACATTGAACAGTAATATGTTAGGATCGTATGAACCTCATTGCAATATGATGGTTAAAAAATAAGATCATTTATGTATTTTTTGCATATTTCATTGTAAAACATTGGGTTTAGTGCTGAGAAAAGGGACGAAACTGATTAAAAAAAAAAAAATAAGGTTTGCGGAAATTGATTTCTATATTATAATCTTCTACAATAAGTTATAAGAAAATAAAAATTTAAAGAATTATACTGCAAATTTTATTAAGATAATAGCATTTGCTCCTTAAGTAAAAAATAGCTAAGTTCAAAATAATTTTTTTTTTAAAAAAAAAGATTGTCCCTTTTCTCAGCACCTAGCCGATTTGAGTGAACCGAATTAGTGCGCGATTTGTAATATTGATATAGAGTAATATTATAGAAGTGATAAGGAATAATAGTAAATTAATTAGGATGTCAGGTTTTACAGAAGAAGGTCGATAATTGACCCCAAATCGGCTTTGATTATCAGGTTAAAGGAATGTTAGTTTGAGATATACGCAATAAACTGCTAAGATGAAGAAGGAATATACTATTATAATTATTTAAAAGAGGTAATATTAATTATCTTTTTAAGCCAATAACTAGTTGCCAAATAGTCCGTTACAATAACAAACGGCATTTAAAAATGACCATCTTCGGAAGATCTCAAAAGCCTTGTATTCGTCCTTTTTAATACCGATGCTCTAGCTGAAGAAGAAACCAGTCCAAAAAAACCCTCACTATTGACTGATTTAGCGGCCTTCTGATAATGTTCGCTCAACATCAATCCTATAATGATATCTACATCCAAGCTTCCAGAGTTCTTTTCCAGTTCTTTGATTCATAATTGCAAAACAGAGATTTTTAAAAAAAAAACTATAGTCGATATTATATACAATCTAGTACGTGCCTAATTAATTACGCACAAATTCATTATTTAGTCTTGCAATTTATTTGCAATACATTCGAAATATGCAAGTGACTGAAAATCGCATATCATCCGTTCGATCTGTTCAACTTGATTAAATTATTCATTCTATTCAAAATTTGTTAACCGTATGAATATTTTCGAAATAGAATTTGATCTGTATTACATAACCCGGATAGTGCTGCATACAGTACCTCGAAAAGGTATCCCATTTAAGTAGATCGGGGCCACTATTTTCAATTGTAAATTTCAAATTTTTGACAAGAATCCCGGTACTAATCTAAAATATAGTTATTATCAATGGCAATAACTTCACCAAGTCATTTAACTGGCATAACATGGTGTGACAATTTAGCATGTTTTCTTTAATTTTTAACATATATATATATTGTATGACAAATATTTTACCGCTTCAAACCCGAATGTGTTAATTAAGTTATTCTAGAACTTATCTTTAATTCCGGTCCAAATACTAACTCTTAACCATACAATCGGAAAGTTTCGGATAATAATCCCAAATATAGGTGAATTTTGGGATTCTGCTTACTAAAGTTCCAAATCACTAACATCACTAATAGTATAATACCCTCCCCTTCAAACAGTACCCCGGGGGTATTATTTAATTGACATTTTATGCAGCTGTACGGTAGGTTTTATCGTTTTAATATTAGTTCACGATTATGTGTATTAAATATCAATCATATTTTGATAACAGTGTTTCCAAACATTTGCATCCTTATGTTAAACGTAATTAAATTATTATATAATAATTTTGACCTACATCAATCTCTTCTAGTAATTGGCTCTCCTGATCAGGTGTAATGTTAACAAATCACTATTGATTTTTTTAAAAAAATAGGTCAAAACCTTATATATGAAATTACCTTCTGCGCTCTAACAAAAAATTTCTTGCAAAATTTGACGCTGTATAAGTCATAACCCTGACCCTAACGTATGGAAAAATTTTAGTGTTGATCATCTGATTAGTGTTTCACAACATTTTAAAATAGATATAAAAATACCTGTACTTACTACGAAAATAAAATTATAACATCTCACCTTTTAAAATGATATCGTTACCAAACGAGTTGCTTTTTAATATATTTGATAACTTCCGCATTTATTACAAAATTTTATTTTCATGTCTTCTTGTAAACCGTCAATGGTTTAGGATAGTTGCACCAATATTATGGAGTGAACCAACAATTAGTTTTAGTGATAAAAGGCTTATAAGATTGTATCTTTTAACATTAAATCCCAAAGAACAAGCATTATTAACTCCTTTTAAAATGGTTCTTCCTAATTTTCCAAAACCAATATTTAATTATACAAGCTATACTATATTTATTGGTTATTGTTTGCACGAAGGAATTGAAAATTGGCTTTGTGATGAACATTATAATGGTGATTATGAAAAACTTGATGATGAACTTGTAAGCGCCACTACTTCTTCTCTAATTGCAATGTTCTTAAGAACAAGTCATAATCTTAAGTACTTAAATCTTGGTGGTGTGATTCTTAATAAATTAATATTTGAAAATCTTTATGAAAATACCACCGTTATCTCTATAGATTGTAGAATCAATGATGATTTTGAATTTAAGGAATTAGTAAAGATTCTTTGCAAAAATAAAGTTCTGACTTCATTGAATCTTAGTCGTAGTCAAACTCGGTTTATAAATATGAATGAATTAGCTAAAGTTCTTTGTTCTGATGAATTTTGTTCAGACGAAGGGGGATCATTAGAAGAGACTTCATGCAACTATACTACTCTGACTTCTTTGGATCTTAGCCAAAATGCTCTCATTTCTAAAGAAGCAAAAACATTGGCTAAAGCTCTATGTAAGAACTCCTTTATGACTTCTTTGAATCTTAGTAATAATTCTATTCATTCTGAAGGTGGGAAAGCGTTAGCAGAAGCTTTATGCAAGAATTCTACTCTGATTTCCTTAGATGTATCAAATAATTTTATCGATATTGATGGTGGAATAGCATTAGCAGAAGCTTTATGCAAGAACACTACTCTGACTTCTTTAAATTTTAGTTGTAATCAACTTAATTCTGTGAAATCTGTGAGTGTAAATGCATTTGCTAAGGCTTTATGCAAAAATTCTACTCTGACTTCTTTAGATCTTAGCCGTAATAGACTTAGTTCTATGGAAGGGAAAGCATTGGCAGAAGCTTTGTGTATGAATTCTACCTTAACCTATTTAAACCTTAGTGCCAATCATCTTCGTTCTGAGGGAGTGAAAACATTAGCTAATGCTTTATGTAAAAATACTACTCTAACTTCTTTGAATATTAGTCGTAATGAAATTTGTTCTGAAGGTGGAAAAGCATTAGCAGAGGCTTTATGTAAAAACAGTACTCTGACTTCTTTAAATATTAACTACAATCAACTTGGTGGTGAGGATGGAAAAGCATTAGCAAAGGCTTTATGCAAGAACACTACTTTGACTTTTTTAGACGTTTCTAATAATTTTATTAATTTTAAAGGTGCAGAAGCGTTAGCAGAGGCTCTATGCAGGAATACTACTTTGACTTCTTTAGATCTTACTAATAATACCATTATTTTTAAAGGTGTTAAAGCATTAGCTAAAGCATTATACAAGAACACTACTTTGACTTACTTGAATCTTAGCCATAATTTTATTTATCCTGGAGGTGTGAAAGTAATAGCAGAAGCTCTACACAAGAACTCTACTCTGACTTCTTTAGATCTTAGTTTTAATGACATTTATTCTGATGGAGGGAAAGCATTTGCTGATGCTCTATACGAGAATACCACTCTGATTTCTTTAAATCTTAGTCGTAATGAGATTTGTTCTGAAGGTGGAAAAGCATTAGCAGAAGCTCTACGAAATAATACTACTCTGACTTATTTGAATCTTAGTTGTAATAAAATTTGTTCTGAAGGAGGGAAAGTATTAGAGGAGGTTCGACGTAAGAACAATACTTTGATTGATTTGAATCTTAACTATAATTTATTTTGAATTACATCTAGTTAAGATATTCGTTCAATAATTATGAATGATTGAAAAGCTGATCAATAGGAAGCATGGTTTTTTTTTTTTGCATCTTATTCTTGGGATTATTAGTATTATAAACAGATTAGAGATCAATTCAGAATCGATTTATTATGTTTTTTTTTGTTTTTGTTAATAAACATAAATTTTGGCCGGTTCCAAAATTAACAATTTACCCATTAGCAATGGAAAAGATTATACTATATCTATCTTATCTAAAAATTTTTTGAAGTGTTAAATCTTATTAAGAATTAGATTTGTTAGAATATTTTAATTATATTAATTATTACGAGATATTTGAACCTTCACGATAAACATAACAAGGTAAGGGTAAAAATACAAAACACTATTATTAATAATATGTAAAAACTATTATGTTCTTAATAATTGGTGAATCTAGTTCTTATTCAGCTACTATGTAACGCCAACCTGATATACATTTTTGAATGTCAAAATTTGATAATTCATTTTAAAATTACAAATCAATAATATTATTATTTACGAGTCTACTTTAATTAACCTTCATTTACAATTAGATCTTTCATGATATTAACGATAACTTGTATTATTGCTCATTAATTTGAAAGCAAGAAAACGGTATACTTCGTATTCTGGGGCTCTTACAATTCAGTAAAATCTATTAAGACTACCATCATAAAACCTAACGCACTAGGTTGATAATTTAACTTTTGTCAAAAGTGCATTATCATTTATTTACCTCTCTTAAATACAAAATGATTCCTGAAAATATTTTGAACATTAAACAGAAAGTCTCTCTTAATAAGCAAGTCTTACTGCACGAAGCAAATAAAAGCATGCATTAAATGTTTAATTGGTAAATCAAAGAAAGAAATTATAGAAAAAAGACAAGAAAGTAATAATAAAATACAGGAAAATATCTTATATTCAGAATGTGATAATGTTAAAAAGGCTTATTATATATGTTATCACAAAACAGAAAAAATATTTAGTAAATAATTAGTATAGAATTTTCTAAATTTATTAAACTATTCTTTAAGATTACCAATATGCAATAAAGTTTAAGGGGTTAAGGTAAAATATAAATTGCAGTAAAATTTTAGCAAAAAATTAATTAAAATCTAATAATTAATCAATTATAATTATTAAATATTTGCAACTAATTATAATTTAAATATAAATTTTATATTAAATGTAAAATATTACTATAAACATAAGCTAGATGCTGAGAAAAGAGACAAATTTGACAAAAAAAATTCTTTGGAAAATTAATTTTTGTTATAAATCTTATAATAAATCATAAATACAAACTTTAAAGATCTATATTGCAAAACATTCTTATTACAACTACTTTTGTGTCTTAAGTAAAAAATGATCTCAATTTTATTCAAAATTGATTTATATGAAAAAAGCACATTTAAAGATTGCCCTTTTTCCAGCACAGCTCATATTTAGTGTTTAAAATTTTAAATTACCTATATAGTAAATAGATAATAATCTCTTTAGGTTTAAATAAATAAAATTGATTTAGAATGTTAATATGCTTTTTTTGCTTTGCTAGTTTATTTGAAAAAAAATAAATTTCTTGGATAATTGCTTTAATATTTGCTTTGCTAAACTATTTGTAAAAAAAAAACTCATTGTAATTGCTTTAATATTAAATAACTAATTATTGAAATGTTTATTATTACAGGTGTTACATATATCATACAATTCTTTATTTTCGATATCATATGTAACTACTTTTATTTTTCTGACTATACTTCTTTAAGTAATACCGGTATAATATGCATATGATATGGGATCTTTGCTAGCAAAATTTTTTCTAAAAATAGATTTACTATGATTTTCTTAATAAAAATCCTGTGTAATAATTGCTCGTAAGGTCATTTTGCTAGCAAAGATCCCATATATAAGCAATTTTTATACAAAATTTTGCAAGAAATAATTTTACTTAGAAAACAAAATATGGTTTCATAAGTAAATAAATGATTTTTCAATCGATTCTTTACAACCAATCAATTATAGTGGTTTGCAAAAATTATATTTGAATATTTCAATGTGCAACACTTATTTCTGCAAATATATTACAAAATCATGAATATACAACTTTTATTTCTATAAATTTTTACAAAATAATAAAATACAAATAAGCAAATTTTGCATCTAATTGATTAGTTAATTAGTAATAATAATACCCCGACCTCTCACACAAAAAAAATACATCATTAGCTCATACATATTAAACTTATATGAAATGATATTAAATTGATAATTCAAATATATATTCAATTTCTTTTTCTCTTTTAATACTAAAAAAAAGTAAAAATGAAATATTCTTTTATGACAGATTCTGATTTTAAACCATCATATAAGTCGTGATAAGTTATCCAATTTTATGAAAGAAGCTTGTTTCATTACAAGTATTAATCGTGCTGGTAGGAGATTGTAAACCATTCTCTTCGCAAACATACAGCTCAAAAATTAAATGACACCAGTGTAAATAGTTAGGCTAGAATGGGCATCACCAAACATTGCACAGTAGAGGCATGCAATATATATAGGTTACAAAATGAGCAGCAACAAGTTAAAGTTGCAAAATTTATAGTACCACCTGGTATATAAAGGTTTGTATAATATTACAAGTACCTTACAGGTACAGTCACCATTGAACCCTTTATTGCGCCTCCATCCATATTCGCTATTGCAATATTTGCAAAGCTGCAAGATATATATCATTTTACATTTACTATGTATACTACATTAATTTATAAAATTTTATGTTTACAAGTATAATAGAAGTAATAAATATGACGATGTTAGTAATGGTAGTGTGAAAATTAACTATGAAAATAACGATTATTATTGCTCAATCAGATGACTTTATTTAGATAGAAACTGAAGAACATATGGGAATATAGTTCACTACCCTTCGAAAGCTCTATCTAATATATAAATATATAACTTCGAAACCTATAAGGAACTATACTAAAAACAGCAAAACAGGACAAACACAACAAATGCCACCTGTAGAGAGAAATCAACCAAAGCAACTCCTATAGCTGTAAAGAGAATCAGTTATACTGTACTTTGCCAATGTGAGAAAGAGTTCACTCTTATCATGGTCCTTGTACTGCCACCTGCAGCCACAGAATCAGATTACAAAACAAAAACAGGTTCTTGCACTGCTACTGCAGTCGCGGAGCCAAATTATAAACAATAAGTCCTTGCACTGCTACTGCAGCTGCAGAGCCAAATCACAAATGACAGGTCTTTGTACTGCTATTGCAGCCACAGAGCCCAACATAACAATAGGCCCCTGCACTGCTATTGCAATCACAGAGCCTAAACTATATTCAGTTTACTTCGTTACAGGAACTCATGACACACAACGAACATTGCTTGTCCGAATTCGGGTGGGTATGGGAGGGCGATAGAGCCAGGCTTTACAAGGTAAGCAATAGTGAAGAGAAAGATATCCTCTTCTACCAAGACAAGTAGACTTAAATATCCTATACCATCCAAGAATATTTTCACCCTCCTGCATTACTGATTTCCAACTTGAGACTAACTATTACCTCTTACTACTATTAACTATTTACTAATAACTCATAAAAACGTAAATTTCAAATAATCATATGCAATTATTCTACTAATTTGAAAATACCTGTATATACAAGAAACATATCGATTTTATAACCACAACCAAAAAAGAAAGAATAACCATAAAAGGATAGATAACAAATCTAGAACATGATAGACCATAAAGTCATCTGATCTTGCAATAATGATTGCTCTGTCACTTCGTTGACAGGTTTTTCATTATTATTGCTTAATCAGATGACTTTATTTAGATAGAAACTAAAGAACATATGGGAATAAAAAGAGGATCGCTAATTCGCAAATCCCATCCTCCTAGAAATCTTTAGTTCAGTTGTTCCAACAGACCTTAAATACAACATTACTGCCTTGCTGTCCCAACCTCCTATAGTACGTATTTGTGTTAAAGATAAACCTGCTTTCATTGCAGCTGTTGCACCACCAATTCTAATGCTATAAGTTGTAAATCTACCTTGAGCTCCTGTATTTCTAGCTATTCTCTTGACAATAGTTCCAACAGTCTTTACTGTTAATTGTTTTTCCTGTCTCAACAGAAAAAGAGGTTCATCCTTAGTGGTTTTGAGTCTTATTAACAGATAACTTCTCAATAATTTAATTGAACAGTAGCAACTATCTGTATACTCTATAGAAATAAAATTTCTATTAGCAGATTGGTCAGTCTTGAAAGAACTTATATGCAACCAGCATAGTTTATCTTCAAATTTAATATCTTTGAGTTTCAATTTATATAATTCATCAGGATGATGCATAGTTCTTAATCTGAGAGTTACTAAAACAGCATCCTGTATTCAATAATCCTTATTTACATAACATGGCATATTGTTTACAAACTGCTTTAAGACAGAGACTGTCAATGGGTTATAGGGTCACTCAGGTTCTTTATTCTTCTTATACTCCTTTAATAATGTTCTATAAGTTCTTTGACTTTATAATCCTTAAAAGAATCTGGTAATTGATGTTCCAAGTGTTCTCTTGATACTGTTGTCAAAATGATTGTGTAGCTTGAAAATGAATATACTAGATTTAGCTAAACAAGAAAAGATACAAGTGTATCAATCTCTGATGATAAAGCTATTAAACCTGTAATCTTACAATAATTTTTATATAAGATTCATGTTTTATCTAAACATCAGTTCCAATTTTCTGAGACTGACTTCTTATTCAGAGCTTGAATTTTTGCAAGTAACCTATTAACTAGCTTATTCTTACTGTTAGAAACTGCCAAGTTGGGTTCTTCTACAGTTCTATTTTTTCTGAATAATCTCTTATAAAAACAACTGAGCTGGAGGCAAAATCAGATAACCTATTTGAATATGTAATAGCATTGGTCACCATGTTGCTAAAACCTATCTGAAATGATTATTATTGCTATTGTTTTTTCTTCTATTATGTTTTGTAGAACCTAATGATTTAATGTTATAGGTAGGCATATATAGTTGTTCTCTCTTAACCAGTTCTGAGCAAAGCAGTTTACACCTTCTGATTTTGGGCAATAAAATTTGTTATTGAAGCAAGCTAGTTTGGAGTTCTAATGACTGAACATATGATCAACTGAATGAGGTCCCTACTTTTTTTCTATAAGATTAAAATTGTCTGACTCAACAACCAATCATCCTTATCTAAAAATCTGTTCAAGTCATCTGCTGTGTTGAATTCTAAGGGCATTCAAAAAACTTTGCTGATCTAGTTATCCCACCTGTCTATTAAACTCTATAGCCTTTTTAACAATTCCTTTTGCTATAGTAGTTTATCTTTCTTTACTACTGTTCTTATAGCTTCCTGATTGTCTATATGTAAATCTATTCATAAGCATTGAAATAGGTTTGTAAAGAAATTCAACTCCAGAATCACTGCTTCAGCTTCTAGTCTTGTAATCTCTCTATGTAACTTTACTGAATTCCAATTTCTAAAACTTGATGTTTTTCAAAAACTGCCAACCATCCTATTGTTAAAGCATTGATGAAGCCTGTTTTACTTTTAATAGCTTTCAGACTAGACAACTATTTTTTTCTCTTAAATTTTGTGTTACCTATTTTGCATTCTTTCATGTCTGATCTAACAAATTTACTAATGCATCCTATTGCCATGAACCTCTGTTTGCCATATCTATCAATATATAAAATTTTAGGCAATGAACTTTTGCATACATGAATGCTCTGCTTAGTAATTAAATCTTTTCTGCTATTGAAGCTAATCTGCAAGTTAAAATTTTTTTCTTTTTCTACTAACTCTAACACTATCTCTCTTACTTATATAATCTTGTTTATTGAAATAGCAAATTGTGCTTTTACTGTATCAATTATTAAGCCAAAAAACTTTACATGTTGAGATAGGATCTATTGACCTTTTGATAGTTCTCTTATCAATTCACATTTTTCCTTTACTATCATATCTTGTATTGTCAATAGAATATCTAATGAAAAATAGGTTAGTCAAAAATTATTTAAATAGTTCCTACAAAATAAACCTAATGACCTCTAATAACCTACTATAGCCCTCATAATCTTGGAAAAAATTTATATAACCTGCAATAGACCAAAAGAAAGTACTTTGTAATAATACCAGTTCTCTAGTATTTTGAACCAAGAAAGCACTAAGCATTCTCTTTCATCATTATGTAATGATAACTATCCTTTAAATCCTATATAATTATGTACCAACCTTTTTCTATCATATGAAGCAAGTCATCTAATCCTTCAAAATACACACTCTTCTTGGGAAGAATTGAGTTTAATTGTTTTAAGTCTATAATCATTCTTTATCTCTTCAGACCTTTTTTAAGCATCAGAAAAACTGAACTTACTTCTAATAAAAATTTTGGTCTCTTTGTCTGACTCCCTAAACAACCTATTGTTGAAGATTTTACTAACTTATTTAACTTTTTCTTTATCCATTCTTGCTGTTTTATCGATAAACTGTACTGATTTGAAACTGATTTTGCTACCAATACTAGAACACCATTTGGGTACAAGGAAACTCTATTTTTCAACAAATTCATAACCACTTGTGAAGAGCATAACTTGTACTGCTAATATTTCAAGACCTTCACTACTTGCATTCTTCTTACAACTGATATTCAGTCTCCAAAGATATTCTTTTTTATGATCTAAATGCAGTCAATCTTGGCTTTTAGGCTTGCTAAGAGTTCTTGAGTTTGAGAAAGGGCAGTTTGATGCAATATGCCCAGTACCACTACAGTTATAGTAGGGAATTGCTTTTTGCTTGTCTGTAAATTTATAAAAATTTCTACTTCGAAAGGAAGAAAGCTCTTTATCCTTCTTTTTATTTCTTTTATAATAATTTTATCTTTCTAAGTCAAATGACAAAGAAAACACTCTTTTTCTTTTGTATTTAGACTTGTAAAATTTACCACTATAACTCCAGTTATGAGAACATGAAAAATGTCCTACTTGACTAATCAAATATATGTGATCCTTATACTTCTTCATTATCTTATCATTATTACCTACTATCTGCAGTGCTGTATCCCAGCTTCTGTTATGCCTTTTCTCAATTTCTGGTATGTTTACCACTTCTTTTACATCGAGTGTCAACTCTTCATATTAGGAAACTTCTTTCTAGAAACTTTTTTATATATTAATTTTCTATTTACATAAACTTAAGCTACAGAGCTACACATATATTCATATGCTTTTGTAGATTACAGAGTTTTATCTCCAGCTGAAATTGAACTGTTGACCTTGTTTGTATAGAGAGAAACATCTAGACCACTAGGCTATAGGATCTCATCCTTACTAGAATATCTTTCTGCTTCTGTAATTACATTTGTTGTATCAATTTTATTAGCTATTTCCAAATATGTTATCAAATCTTTATTTTTAATGTTTTTAATTATTTTTTACTTTTTTAACTAAAAGTAGAAGAACTTGGTCTAATAATGATCTTGCATTAACATTATCTGCTAAATTTATTCTAAATTCTATTTGCATATTTTCTATTAGGATGCCATAAGTTCAGATTCAATTGATTGATTGTTTGTCAAATAGAATTCTAATAGACCATTTATTCTTTTGAAAAAATAGTACCAATAAGTATAAAGTAAACTATTGTCTAGACATTGCCTAATGTGAAGTGACAAATGAATATTTGATAATATATATGTCAGGCCATAATATTTTTTAATTAAATATACCTGTTTATTAGCTGATTATGTGTTTTATTTATGTTACTTGCTTGACTATTTGGTTTATTAATAAATTGTATATACAGACAAAATTAAAAATAATTTCTTTATTTTTAAGATCTAATATATTACATATGCAAAGAATAACATAGACTTGGTAGAATATTTTCTATTAATCTACTATAAATTAATTAAATTCTTCTAATCTATGCATAGAATATAACCTATATCAGCAAGAACTTTAATATTTGATATATGTTTTTCAATTATTAAAAGTTTAGTATTGTCAAGTTTATTATGATTTAATAAACACTGTCTCATTATCTACTTGCCAATATCTAAGAATAAGCAATGCATTGAATCAATCACTATAAATTTAACTAGATCAAAATATTTTAACTAATATAGTTTTGAGTATCTTATTTTTATATCTTTGACATGTTGTTTATATTTATTCTTATTTGTACAATGTAATTATTGTTTTATTGCATTAAAATACTATGAGATATCTATAGAATTAAACTATTTTTCTATATCTTCAAAACTACTGTAGTGGTTTTTTATAGTATTAGGATCATATTTTGAATGTTTTGATTAATGATGGCATTTAACTATATAACTTGCATAACTACAAATCTTTCTTGTAGCAGGAACATTAATAACAGATAATATTAGTACTATATATATCTTTCTTTCTATATTATATTCAAATGTTACTAGTAATTCTAAATTAGAGAAAAATTCCAATAACTTATCAATGATTAGTACAAGATATTGATTAATTTAATGTTTACTAGGTTTATTAGATTCTGGTATAATATCCAATGTTAAAATATTGTTTGTTTTAAATCATTCTTCATATAGTAAATTATACAAAACTTCATAAATTACTTAGTACTATGAATTGTATAATCAAATAGTTAAAACTAATTGATATTAAGAGTAAGATCAATATAGATATCAAGTTTGTTATTTGTAAAGAATAGTTAAGGATCATTAGAATTAATCAAAAACTTTTTCAAATATTACTCTTATATATGTTTAAGAAAATTCTATTTGAAATATTTCTATTACTAGAATGTTATAACATATTCTCAAAGCCTAGTTGCTTATATATAATATAAAGTTGTTGTCTTATACTTTCAACTAGATAAAGTTTTAATAATTATAATAAAGATTTTTCTTTAGTTTTTATAATCTCTGCTAATAGTTCATTACAAGTTAATCTTTGAGATAATAATCTATATTCAAGATATTGTTATATATACATCTTTTGTATACAGGTTTATTATCTTCTTTATAATTTTTTACATCTAATATCTATAGAGTTTATGACACTTTGGACATGCAATATATTTTTTTATTTAGTTAAAATATCCAAATATGATTTAGCTATAAGCATAGAAATCAGAAAACTATCAGCCTTATTTATTTTAAAATATATAAGTATATAGCAAAGAAACTTAATTAATGCTTCTGTTTTAATATCAAATATATTAAAATGTTGCCAATATTTTATTATCTATAAGATGATTACTTTATTCTTATTACTATCAGCAAAAGTAAATAGTGGTCAAAAATTTTAGAATCAATTTCTAATAAAAT